CCTACTGCACAGCACTGCTTCTTCACAAATAATTCCTTCCAACTATGATTTCTGACTCCTCATTCTTGCTTACTTCCCAAAAAAAAAAAAAATTCTCTCAGCATTCCCTACAGTAATCCACACTTCATCCAGTAGAAAATCATTCTAATAGCATGGCCAATATTTATATTACAGGTCAGTGTAAGACCAGTGTAGTTCTGATGTTCATCATCAGGTATGAAATTAAAGCAGAAAGTTCAGGAATCTAACAATGGTCTGGCTGTGTATAAAATTGCTAGCAGCAGAAAGAGGTAGAAATGCTTGAGCATAGATCCATGTCGAAACGTTCCATGGACCCTATTGCAAATAGGAAAGGTAAATCTCCAGTAATATTTTAAAGACTGTGAAAAGTAAAAGGTTTCTAGCCACCTATACAGTGGTTAAAGCTAAATTTTAGTTTTTTTTTCTGTTTGCTATATTGCACCAGAGACATAGTTCATCTGTAATGAAGTGTGTCCTACATTCTGCTGGCTGCTTCTTATTGTAGAAGTCTTCCTTTAACGAATGTCAGATTTTCCTCACAGCCCTGAACTTCCAGTGCTGCATGGGTTAAGAGTGGTGTCTGTGAAAGTTTCCCTGACACCTACCTTCCCCTTTATCCATTTAGTAAACTCTTTGCATTGTTTTCACAAAATGCAACACTTTCTAAGAATAGTGGAGGGAATCCTGTCTTTCATCTGCTCTCCCCCACTCACAGAATGGGTTGTATTCTGTGAAAACAATGCAAGGAATTTTCTAAATGGATGAGTTGGGAGGAAGAGGTAGGAGCGGGAGGAAAGCAGGTGTCGAGAGACTTTCACAACCGCAGCTCTTAAGCCACGCAAGTTTAGAATTTTACAGCTCCGATGAAGATCCAACATCAGTGAAGGGAGGATTTCTACAATAAGAAGCAGCCAGCATTATGTAGGATAACATTCATTGGAAGTTACTCATGTCATTCATGCAGTATAGCAGGAAACATTTTTAACTAAACTCCAGCTTTAAAATAACAAATATCAGGAATAATAATGAATGCATATACACTGCAGTATATACATTTTTTTTTTATACCAAGGAGTAAATTTAAAAGATAAACTGTCAACATAGAAATATCACACCTGCTACTGCTGGCTGGAAGCTGCAAGCCTCATTGCTGTCATATCTGCCGCTGACTACTAAAGCGGACAATACGTTGTTTGAATTTCAAAAAATGGAAGCAGCAGAGTATAAAAAATGTTGAATGACTGCATTCTGGCAGATTTTGTATTCAAGCAGTCTGTCGAGAAAAATCTGACCTGAACAAGCAAGTCAAGAGTCTCCAAAGTCTTAAGGTGTTCGTTCACCTTTACTAAAAAAAAAAAATATAACGGTGAACAATGGACACCCTCCCCCACCCTGGTCCCTGCTGTACTTACCACACGGGCTGCCAAGCTGTCTTCATCCCCGCAGCCAGACCAGAAATTTGAAATCACCTCTCCAGATCAATTCTGATTTGCCTGTGCTGTCACTGTGATGGCACTGACCAATCAAAATCTATCTGTTCCGTCCTGGAAGCGATGACAGAGAAGAGTGGAGATTCTAAATACGTGGACCAGCTGCTGGGGCGCTAACAACTCGGCAAACCCAGAGGTAAGTAGGAGTGGAGAAAGGGTGTCTGGTATTCGTTTACCTTTGCAATTTTTATGTAAAGGTGAACTAACCGTTTAAGGAAGAAAAGGATAATGGAACTTGCAGCTTCATATACAAATCATTGACACTTCTCATACTTTTATCCTAACAAGTTTGCTTAAGGCCCCCTTCACATCTGTATGTTGTAGTAACTTGTGCCAGTGCACCATTTTTGGTGCATAGCAGTGTTATTCAATTTGAAAAGCAACCCAATATACTATTACCGCAAATCACATGCCGGGTCATTTCAGATTTTTGAGCCAGGTTGATTTGGCAGCACATTTATAATGAATGGGCTACCTTAATGCAATGTTTGATAATGTACCAAAATGGCCCTGGAAATGTGAAGAGGACCTCATATTGGAGACAGCCATGTTGTAACTCCATCAACACTAATTAACCTAGCCATTTACTAGGAACTGGGCACTGCACCAGTGGTCTAATTTTAATTAATTAAAAGTATGCTTCTTACAATATAAGACACTTTATCTTACTGTGTTTTACACTTATAAAAGTCTTTAATACTACATAAAATTTGAAAAGAAAAAAAAAAAAAAAAGACTGCAGTTCAGGGAGAAGCATGCACATCTTCCTTACCTGTGTGGTCTGAACTACCCAATCCACTGTCTAAGTCCTCATGTGACTAGTATCCAGGACCCTTAGCCAACTTTTACACTTCTCTATAGTAGAGGATCCCCCCAAAGGCTTCTATAAGTAAAAATCTAATACTGGTAATAAAGAAGGGTACTGTCATTCCTAAAAAATTAATCACAGTAGGACTAGTAGGCAGATTGTAACCACACAGAAAAGTACTACTTACACTATGTACGCACTTCCCTTAGACTCCCTGATCGTCTTTATGTAAATTGCAAGTCGTCCTTAGCAGCTCCATTCTCTGTTCCACACCTACCAATCTATTCAATAACCTGCATAAAAAGCTTGGTGAAAACATTCAGATTAGAAAGTGTCTGTGCGTTTATCCAACATATTTGCAGTTTAATACATTCTGCTGCACACTGCAAAGTAGGTGAAAAAAGGCCCATTTTTTTAAGCTGAAATCAAGATGATTGTTTTATGCAACAATCTGAAAAAAATAGGCTACCAACAAAAATTGTGACAATTCTTTTCCGACTTTTTTTTTTCTTTTTTTATTTCCTTATCTACCTCAAAATAGTCCAAATTCAAAAATATGGTACATCCTTATCAGGATAAGACAAACATAGTAAATACATAATATTTCCTTCATTAAAAATAAATTAGGAAAAAGGTCATGTAAAACATAAGGGAAAAAAAACTGGAGCAAAGCAGAATAACTAAATACGTTTCAATTTGCATTTGATAACCTGAAAAAACAGACATGGATCCTTACTTGCTGCTATAGCTCCATTTTCTTGCCCTAATCTATTTAAGCAACAAAAGGGCTAATATTACTCAGATGAAGTCCCACCCTTCTTAAAAGAAAAAAAAAAAAAAAAAAAAAGAAAATTAACATATTTTTATAATACCCATGATGGTAGGAACACATGGCATACATTAAAAGGTTTTTTAAAAAAAGTAATTGTAACAAACATGATTTCTGCTCAGTGCCATAGTTCATAAATAGTTTATTAGGAGTTTAATAGATAGGAAATTGAGGACTTTTCTTTCCAAATGGTACTTTGACTGTAAATCAAGCTTCAGCATATTTGTACTTCTGTTTGCTCTTCAACTTCTTCAGCCTCTGTGTTACTTGGAAGTAACAACTGACCTTGTAAATCTTCTTGATAAAAAGCAATATGAAAAAGATCTTTATGTTTGAGTGTTGCTCTGACTTATCAAGAATTTGATTCATTACATTGGCAAGTAGAGGAGCAATCCAATACGAAAATTAGCAGTCACACAGCACCACGTTGCTTTACCCCCGTTTCAGAGGTGATGGTTAAGGCAGGATAACATCTGCATGAATTATAACACTGATGTACCACGGCAACAGAGCAAAAAAAAAAAGAAAAAAAAAAAAAAAAAAAACCAAAAACACTGCACATACACTCACTCGCACAACATAACATGTTTGCAAGAGTTAATATATAAAATAAACGTAAAATTTACAAACTGCTCCTGGATAAAAAATATGCTGTAGTTTCACAGATTGTGTTGTATTTTCTTAATGGAATACTTAAATATACAAATGAAACCCTCATTACTGGCAATACATGACATAGGTAAACCATAAAAATTATCTGTAAAATCTCTGTAAATCATCATTTACCAAAGCTTTGATTTTTTGGGTGGACAGGTTGTACAAAAAACAGACAAAGCAGTGTTATGGAATAACTTAGCAGTCAGCCTCTTACTGCACAAAGTAGTAATATGATGCCATCATGTTACTACTTTACCTCCAAAACGGCTGCTGCCAATACATGCCTGTGGTTAGAATCATTTAAAGGAAGCACTACAAATGGCGGTTTAGCAGACGGAGGTGATTATTATGCTCACCTGTACCCGCATTACAACGATCCTTCTGTCCTACACACTGATGCAGCACTGAGTTCTATTAGCCTCCCACGTCTATCGGCTGGTTTCTCCTATAGAGGTCTTAAAGATAGACAGTTACTGCAAACATAGGATGCTGTAGGCTGAAGGGAACTGGAAAGCATGGAGGTAAGCAAGACTCACTCCTACTGCACCTGTTAAAACCTTTCCTCTTCCCAAACAAGCTTCATGTAGGAACTGCATAAAAATGGAGTGCACACTATTCTGCTGCTTTTGAGTGATATACCTTCCACAATAAAACAATATATTTTACTGCATAATCCTGTGACATAACAGCTTCTCAAGCACATGCATTCATACACACACACACACAAAAAACAATGTTTTTGTCACCATGGTCAAAATATGAAGAATGAACAGAACACTCGGGGCAGTTTTTAGTCTTGATCCATAGATCTTATGAAATCTTGCATGAATGTTATGCTTTCACTCTGCTCCATTACTAACAAGCCCTGCAAATCAAAGAACTAAAATAACTTGAAATAAAAAAAAATAAAACAGTTGTCCCACTCTTCTCACATCACAAGTTTAAAACATTTCTGCCGTGCTTTGTTGGACAGACACACGTACAATGGCTTAAATTTTTCTTTTTTTTTTGTCCCCCCCGAATATCGCCAAAGTCTTCTTTTTAATAACCATTGTTTTCATAATCCGAGGTCCTTCATCAGTCATGTTTAAAGCTCCCATTGACCGTTAGTGAATGCTCTCAGTTTAAGAATCCAGAACGGTCAGAAAATATGCCTTGTTTATTAATAGTTAATCTCCTGCAGGCATGTCAAGTTCTACACGGATATTTCGTATGTAGTGCCTCCAACTCCTGTTACCTTCTTAACACTAGAATGCCTGGAAGGACTCACTGTGTTTTGTGAGCTTGACGTGGATCCCAGCCGACACTCAGGCCTCGATAATCCCTTTGGCTGTCCATTTATCTTACTATGAGGCATCTTCAGGTCCTCCCTAGAGAGAAGAGAAGATTATTACATAGTACTTATGCAAATAAGGAAACTGACCCTAAATCTCCACTTTTTAGCTTCATACATAATACCTACATTTGATAAACCTTTACAAGGATATACATTCGTATTTATTAGCAAACACGTGCCTGTTGCAAAAAATGTTTCTGGCTTCGAAGTGTGCCATTACACACTGGTATGCACCTCTATCTAATCATCAAGTATTTTAGCTGGACACCCACAATCTGCTCAAGTGTGCCAACTTGCTTGATCTGTTATGGTGGGCAGCAAAACATGTCAATAGTAAACCAGGAAAGTGGAGAGACAGACACATACAATCTTGGACAATGGTTTGTAGAGGCAGAGCTGCTCTTAGACTGTGAATGAAAGAAAAAGGGGAAGACTAACAACTGACTGCAGACTGGAAGTGGGTGCAAGATGATGCAAAACTGTAACCAACTGGAGCAAACCAAGGAAGAGAAAAAGGAAATATGGTTGTGTTCAAAATAATAGCAGTGTGTTGAAAAAAGTGAATAAAGCTCAAAATCCTTCTAATAGCTTTTATTTCCATACACACAAATGCATTGGGAACACTACACATTCTATTCCAAATCAAAACATGAAGAAAAATAGATCAAATTTGTGTTGTTCCTCTAAAGAAATTGAAAAGTGAATATTAGACTGTTCAAAAAAATAGCAGTGTTTGTATTCTTCTTTACAAACTGAAACATTCACTATATAAACTGAAAAATGTTTGAAGATTTTGCTTTCCTTTGAATCAATTAATATTTAGTTGTATAAGCACTGTTTCTGAGAACTGCTGTACATCTGTGTTGCATGGAGTCAACCAACTTCTGGCACCTGTGAACAGGTATTCCAGCCCAGGATGATTGGACTACATTCCACGGTTCTTCTCTATTTCTTGGTTTTGCCTCAGAAACTGCATTTTTGAGGTCACCCCACAAGTTTTCTATTGGATTAAGATCCGGGGATTGGGCTGGCCACTCCGTAACGTCAATCTTGTTGGTCTGGAACCAAGATGTTGCACGTTTACTGGTGTGTTTGGGGTCGTTGTCTTGTTGGAACACACCCATTTCAAGGGCATTTCTTCTTCAGCATAAGGCAGCATGACCTCTTCAAGTATTCTGATGTATTCAAATTGATCCATGATCCCTGGTATGGGATAAATAGGCCCAATACCGTATTATGAGAAACATCCCCATATCATGATGCTTGCGCAACCATGCTTCACGGTCCTCACAGTGTACTGTGGCTTGAATTCAGTGTTTGGGGGTCGTCTGACAAACTGTCTCCGGCCACTAGACCCAAAAAGAACAATCTTTCTTTCATCAGTCCACAAAATGTTGAGCCATTTCTCTTTAGGCCAGTCAATGTGCTCTTTGGCAAATTGTAACCTCTTCAGCACATGTCTTTTTTTCAACAGTGGGACTTTGCGGGGGCTTCTTGCAGATAGCTTGGCTTCACATAGGTGTCTTCTAATTGTAACAGTACTCACAGGGAACTTTAGACCTTCTTTGATCTTCCTGGAGCTGATTGTTGGCTGAGTCCTTGCCATTTTGGCTATTCTTCTATCCATTCCAATGGTGTAGTTTTTCACTTTCTTCCACGCCTTTCAGGTTTTGGTTGCCATTTTAAAGCATTTGCGACCATTTTAGCTGAGCAGCCTATCATTTTCCGCACTTCTTTATATGTTTACCCCTCTCCAATCAACTTTTTTAAATCAAGGTACGCTGTTCTTCTGAACAATGTCTGGAACGGCCCATTTTCCTCAGAATTTCAGAGAGAAATGCACTGTAACCAGCATGTACAACATTTGCTGCCTTCCTTCCTTAACCATTAGCCGCCCGGCCAATGGCCGTTTGGCGGCTTAAGAAGTGCTGCGGCATTCCGGGTGCACGCCATTTGGCGTGCACCCGCACATGCGCAGTTTGTGGTAATGCAGAGCCTCGCAGCGGCGCGATCTGTCACCCGCCGTGTACCTCGGACACGGCCGATGACAGATCTGAGTACCGGCCCCTGTTGCTGGTACCATGTGACCTGCTGTGACCAATCACAGCAGGTCACATGACAGTTGTATACAATGGATGGCTTCATTCATGCCATCCATTGTATACTACTGTCTAGCTGTGAATGGTCACAGCTAATCACATGCACATGTCATGTGATTAGCTGTGACCAAATCACAGCTAAGCACAAAAAAAAAAAAAAAAAACCTGAATGAATCGATTTCATTCAGGTAAATGCTTGCTTATAGCAAAGTAATTCTTTGCTATAAGCAAATTGTGTAAAAAAAAAAAAAAAAAAATACTGATCACTTCCCCAAAGTAGTACAATGTTACTATGGTAACATTGTACTACTTTGGTCATAGTACAATATGAAAAACAAATCTTAAAAAAAATAAAAAAAAATGTAATAAAAAATTAAATTTTTTTTTTTCATACTGTCACCAGTCAGTGTCCCTGTTCACCGCCTTGCCAGTTATATGATGACGCTGTACTGCACTGGTGACAGTATGTAAAAAAAAAAAAATAGTGAAAATAATTTTTAAAATTTTTTTATTTTCCGAAAAATGACAAAAAAATACAACTTCAAAAAACTCGCCATTCCTCTTATAAAGTACGTCGGACTGTCTACTCTGCAAAAAGGGGTCATTTGGGGGGATATCTGTACTGTTCTGACATTCTTGGACCTCAAGAAATTAGATTGGCTGTCAGTACTTCAGGATTGATCAATTTTCAGATCTATACCATAGTTTGTAAACTCTATAACTTTCCTACAAACTAAATAATACATCCTAATTTGGGTTATTTTCACCAAAGACATGTAGTAGAATACATCTCGACCTAAATTTATGAACAATTATTTATTTGTAAACTTTTATAACAGAAACAAAGAAAAACGTGTTTTTTTTAAAAAATTTTTGGTCTTTTTTTGTTAATTTAGCAAAAAAATAAAAACCCCAGCGGTGATTAAATACCACCAAAAGAAAGCTCTAGTTGTGTGAAGAAAATGATAAAATTTTAGTTTGAATGACAATTGCGCGGTCATACAACATTGTACCCAAAGTGTGAGAGCGCTGAAACGTGAAAAATGGCCTGGGCAGGAAGGTGTAAAATTGCCCGGTATTGAAATGGTTAAATAAGGGCAATAATTGTCACCTGTTTTTCAAAGAATGAATGACCTCACTAATAGAACTCCACACTGCTATTATTTTGAACATGCCCCTTTCAATTAGTGATTCAATTACACAGAATCTGCAGCATGCATGTCATGACTGTTGGGTCTGTTGGATTTCTATTACTCTACTACACCTGCTAGTAAATTATTTGCCATGCAGAAATATCATTTCTACCAAAAACAGTGATTGATCAGGTTAGTGATGTCTGACTGCTATTATTTTGAACACAACTGTACATCAGCACACATGATCACACTATAAAATAGAGGGGAGATAAGCGCAGCAGCTGACCAATTACCTTTAGGACTGAAAAATCAAGAAAGTAGAGCATGGGCTGACCAACAGCCAGACACAGTGAGAGGAGGCAGAGTGGAATCAGATCACAAACAGGTAAAATAGGTACCGTATTTTTCGCCGTATAAGACGCACCTGACCATAAGACGCACCTAGGTTTTAGAGGCAGAAAACAGGAAAAAAAAAAAATTCTGAACTAATGGACTGCAGACACAGTACAGGAGATGACCAGAGACTGCGGACAGCACAGGGATGACCAGAGACTGCGGACAGCACAGGGATGACCAGAGACTGCGGACAGCACAGGGATGACCAGAGACTGCGGACAGCACAGGGATGACCAGAGACTGCGGACAGCACAGGGATGACCAGAGACTGCGGACAGCACAGGGATGACCAGAGACTGCGGACAGCACAGGGATGACCAGAGACTGCGGACAGCACAGGGATGACCAGAGACTGCGGACAGCACAGGGATGACCAGAGACTGCGGACAGCACAGGGATGACCAGAGACTGCGGACAGCACAGGGATGACCAGAGACTGCGGACAGCACAGGGATGACCAGAGACTGCGGACAGTACAGATGACTGCTGACCTTTGGGGAGGTGGGGAGCGGGTACCTGAATTTGACAGGTACCTGCTCTTACTTCCGCAGAGTTTTTGTTTGATCTTACCTGTTCCTCGATCCAGCCGCTCGCTGTCTTCCCCGGCTTCTGTAATGGCGCTCGGCATGACAGCCGGGTGCCCAGTGCACATGAGCGAGAAGCACTTGCGCTTTGTGATTGGTCCGGCGGCTTCTGGGATCTGTCATGTGTCCCAGGTACCGCCTTACCATTCACAAAAAGCACCGCTTCTTGCGTATGCGCACTTGGCACCCGGCTGTCATGCCCAGTGCCCACACTACAGAAGCCGGGAAGACAGCACGCCGCTGGATAGAGGAACAGGTAAGGTCCCGCTGCAGAGCTGAGCGGCCGGCCCGGTATTCTGACACGGCCGCGGTGGAAATACCGGACCGGCCACTCCATATTCGCCCCATAAGACGCACTGACATTTCCCCCCCAGTTTTGGGGAAGAAAAAGTGCGTCTTATACGGCGAAAAATACGGTAGGTGGTAGGTAAGCACAATGAGAGCTGATCATGAACAGGGATAAAAAGAGGCGGAGCAGACCTGGTCCTTGTAGAGGAGTGAAGTGACAGCTAACTGCAGCCTACTAGGACAGAATGCAGAGCAGGATTTGTTCATGGCCCGAGGGGAGAGGGCAGAGAGGGAGATGAACATTAGGAGAAGGCACAAAATGAAACATCTAATTGTAGACCACAAAACAAAAAGATACCGTGGGCGTTTATCCTAGGTCAAAAGGAGAGAGGAATGGCAGCTGAGTTTGGATCTTTGGGACTGTAGGCAATGCAGGATTCAGGGCTAGGGGATATGTTGAAGGAGAAGGTGAACATTACTAGAAAAATGAATCAGTGTTAAAGGGCTGCAGTTTACTAAAGCCCCTAGCAT